CTCCATCTGCCATTTCTCCGTCCATATCTGCAACTGATCTATATCCCACTGTATCCTTTGACAACCTTCTACATTATTCACAGCTCCACTGACCTTTGTATTGTCTACAAACTTACTAACCCACCCATCTACATTTTCATCCAAATCATTTATATATATCACAAACAGCAGAGCTCCCAATATGGATCCCTGCAGAACACCACTAGTCACGGACCTCCAGCCTGAAAAACACCCTTCCACCACTACCCTCTGCCTGCTATGCGCAAACAAATTCTGAATCCACGCGGCCAAGTCACTGTGGATCCCATGTATATTAATCTGCTGGAAGATCCCACCATGAGGGACCTTGTCAAAAGCCTTAATAAAATCCATGTAAACAACTTCCACTGCTCTACCCTCATCGATCACCTTCGTCACCTCCTCGAAAAATTCAATCAACTCAGTAAGACATGACCTGCCCTGCACAAAGCCATGCTGACTGTCCCTCATTAGGCCATGCTTTTCCACATGTGTGTAAATCCTATCCCTAAGAATTCTCTCCAATAGCTTCGCAACCACTGATGGGAGACTCACCAGTTTATAGTTTCCTGGATTATCCCTATTTCCCTTCTTCAATAGGGAAACAACATTAGCTCCTCACCAGTCCTCCAGGACTGGGACACAGATATACATTGGTATACTGGCTTACACTGGGAAACAGAGATATACTGGGAAACAGAGATATATTGTGATGCAGAGATATACTGGGATACAGAGATATACTGGGATATAGAGATATACTGGTATACTGGGATATACTGGGACACAAATATACTGGTATACTGGGATATACTGGGATGCAGTGATATACCGGTATACTGGGATATACTGGGATGCAGAGATAAATGCATTAAATGCTGGCCTACCAGCAAAGGCCACACCCACACAATGAAGAAGAACATTCTGCCCCGCTCACTGTGTGCGCCCATCACTGAGGAACCAGTGGGAATCAGTATCCATGCTGAAGGGGCAATAGAAGGAGAATCATAGTGAGGGTTCTGCTCCTTCCCAAATATGACCCTACAAATCCAGCTGTGAACGAGTTAAAAAACTCACTCTCTGTTTTTGCTACATGAGAATTTTCTCTTTGATGCTGCCATTGGACCAGCAAGAACAATTTACATTTAAATTTTTTCAGGGAGGTGATGGCCTAGTGGTATGTTGTTAGACTATTAATTCAGAGACCCAGATAACATCCTGGGGACCCAGGTTCGAATCCCTCCATGGCAGATGGTGGAATTTGAATTCAATAAATATCTGGAATTAAGAATTTAATGATGACCATGAACCCATTGTGGATTGTTGGGAAAAACCTATCTGGTTCACTAATGTCCTTTAGGGAAGGAAACTGCAATCCTTACCTGGTCTGGCCTACATGTAACTCCAGACCCACAGTAATGTGTTGACTCTCAACTGCTCTCTGGGCAATTAGGGATGGGCAATAAATGCTGCCTGGCCAGCGACGTCCTCATCCCATTAATGAATAAAGAAAAAAATGCACCTTTAATGTAGTCAAATGTCCCCAAGGAATGTTATCAAACAGAATTTGACACCAAGCCACAAGAAGAAATAATTTGATTTGATTTATTTTTGTCACATATACCTAAGTACAGTGAGAAGTTTTGTTTTGTGTGCAGTACAGGCAGAGCATAGCAAACAAGGATATACAGGTCACAGGGTGCTTAGACAGAGTGAGGTATACAAGGTTACAGCTGCACAAGAGGTGCAGAAAGTGGATTGACATTAGTAAGATCAACATTTTTGAAGTTAGAGAGGTCCATTCAGCTGTTGGCAGCTGTTTGTGAGCTCTGTACGGCAAATCTTATTCTCACATTTCTTAAATATATTTCGACAGCTGTGTCACGGAAGTAGGTTTTAAAGTTCATTTGAGAGAAGGAGACAGACAAATAGGAGAGGGAGAAAGTGAGGAGGAGATGGCAAAAGTGAGAGGGAGAGGGGGAAAGTGAGAGGGAGAGGGGGAAAGTGAGGAGGAGAGGGAGAAGTGAGGAGATGGCGAAAGTGAGAGGGAGAGGGAGAAGTGAGGAGGAGATGGCAAAAGTGAGAGGGAGAGAGGGAAAGTGAGAGGGGGAGGGGGAAAGTGAAGAGGAGAGGGAGGAGTGAGGAGGAGGGGAAAGTGAGCAGCACAAAGTGAGGAAGAGATGTTTGGGGGTCATTCCAGAGCGCAGACAACTGAAGGCACGGCAGCCAATGGTGGAGCATTTAAAATCAGGTATAAACAAGAGGCCAGAAGTGGGCTCGGAGTATTGTTGGGCTGGAGGAATATACACGGATACACAGGGTGAGGTCATGGAGGGATTGAGAAGTGAAGGCAGCATTTTGATGCACTGTTGCTCCAGTGAAACCCAATTTCAAGACAGGAAGACCCACATCCCATCTCAGTGACACCCCTGAGGTTCAGGGCCCTTTTTACAGCAGAGCACTGTCAATCACCACCATAGCCACAGAGAACCATGGGGCTGCTGTCTCATTACATAGGGATGACTGGTGGTGGTCACCATGTCCCAGGCGAGGGGAGAGATTGAGAAGGCAGGATCTTCATAGTGACCTCAGTCAGTAGAGGAATTGAACCCACACTGTCAACATCACTCTCCATCACAAACCAGCCATCAGCTAACTGACCCTCTTGTAATTACCATGTGTGATCAGTGCATAAGAGCTAGCTGGGTTACTTTAACTTCTATTGGGTGCATTTACTGTCTTTGCAATTCCCAAAATGTACATGTCCCTGTGCATGTCTGTGAGTGTGTGTGTGTGTGTGTGTGTATGTGTGTGTGTGTGTGTGTGTGTGTGCACATGTGCATGTCTGTATAAGTGTATGTGCCTATATAGGCATATCTGTCTGCGTGTCTCTGTGTCTGTATGCATGTGTCTGTGAGTGTGTCTGTGTACGTGTCTATGTCTATGTGTGTGTGTATCTATGTGCTTGTACCTGTGGCTGTAAATGTGTATCTGTGTGTATGTCTGTATTGTGTGTGCCAGTGTCTGTGTGTACCTGAGACTGTATGTGTGTCTGAATGTGTCTGTGGGGGCATCTATATCTGCATATGTGTGTGCATGCGTGTGTGAGAGAGTGTGTGTGTGTGTGTGTGTGTGTGTGTATGTGTGTGTTTGCATGTGGGTTAGTGTCTGTGTGTGTGTGGGTGTGTGTCTGTATGAAAGAGTGAGTGTGTATGTATGTGAGGGTGTGTGTGTGAGTGTGAGTGTGTGTGTGTGTTTGGGTGTGAGTATGTTTGTATGTGTGTGTATGTGTGTGTGGGGGTGTGTGTGTGTGTGCGTGCGTGCGCGCGAGTGCGTGTGTGTGTGTGGGTGTGTGGGTGTGTGGGTTTGTGAGAGTGTGCATGTGTGTGTGTGTGTATACGTGTGTGTGTGTGTGTGGGTGTGTGGGTTTGTGAGAGTGTGCATGTGTGTGTGTGTGTATACGTGTGTGTGTGTGTGGGTGGGTGGGTGGGTGTATGTATCAGTGTGTGGGTGTATGTGTGTGTGTGTGTGTGTGTCAGTGTGTGTGTGCATGTGTGAGTGTGTGTGTGTGACAGTGT